AAACTCGGGCCGAAGTGTTGCCTCATAAACTCGGGCCGAAGTGTTGCCTCATAAACTCGGGCCGAAGTGTTGCCTCATAAACTTGGGCCAAAGTCGCTAACCATTTCTGGTCGGCTAAAAATATATTTTTTTCCTTCCATCAATTTGCCATCAATCATTTCTCGTAAATCCACGTCATCTTTAGTATAAACACTCCATATCTGTTTATACTAAATACGTGATTTACAATATAATTATTGCATGGCCAGGAAACACACACCTTTTCCATCTTCCGTAAATTTACGCCTACTTTAGTATAAACACACCCATATATGTTCATACTAAATGCGTAATTTACAACTTAGTCTTTGCATAACCAGAAAATACACATTTTCTATTTCAAATGCAACATTAAAGACTTATCCTTACCTTGGTGAGTATTGGGGTTCGGTTCTTGGCAACTTCTCGAGTTCTACCGACACCACCTCCAACCTTAGGATCTTTCCTCATCCCACCACATAACACAATGTTAGTCATTTATTCCAAATATCACATAAACAACTTATATTGCATCATTTAATCATACAAAATATTCATCATCCATATTCAACCATCTAAAACATGCATAACATCTCATATTTCAATATTTGGGGGTAAACTCATCTTCTACCTCTAGCATTTTACTCATTCTCTCCTTTTACCACATTTTCACTTTTAGGGTTTTTGGGGTTTTCATGAATCAACCCACAACCCTTTCCATTCTTGAGATACTATCTCTAAACCAAGAGTTTACAAGATAAAAACAACATAAAACGAACCATAACTCTAAAGAATGAGTTTCCATGGTTTCCATGGTTTCTCATGTTTTGAAAATAAATCAAACATGCCCAAAACAAGTTAGAGAGGAAGAAGAAGAGTTAGTAACAAGAGGTTTACCTCTTCTCAAGCTCCAAGATGAGTCCTAAGGCTCCTTGCTCTTGAAAAGCTCTCCTCTCTCTCTTCTCTTCGAAGTTCTAACCCTAAAATGTGTTTTGGGTTTCTATTTTATAGACATTGCGATAAGTGTAATCGATTACAAGTATAGTGTAATCGATTACACTGTGTAAATTATAGAGGCATCGTCGCTATGTAATCGATTACCAACATGGTGTAATCGATTACATTAATACGATGTAATCGATTACCAGAAGTGTGTAATCGATTACATTAATACTATGTAATCGATTACCAGAAGTGTGTAATCGATTACATTAATACGATGTAATCGATTACCAACATGGTGTAATCGATTACATTGTGTCAGATGTACATATCTGATGCTTTTAATCATCATGTAATCGATTACCAGAACTGTATAATCGATTACACTGTGTCAGATGCACAGGTCTGATTAGTTTATCAGCATGTAATCGATTACCAGGAGTGTGTAATCGATTACACTGTGTCAACAGCTCAAAATTGCCATTTCTCGCCTAGGCGAGACAACTCTCGCTCAGGCGAGAATCCTCCAGTATAGTCCAGGATTTCACCCTCCCAGGTGATCCTTTCTCGCTCAGGCGAGAATCTCTCGATCAAGCGAGTCTTCCAGGACTGATACTATAATTTTAAACATTAAAATTTGGGGTGTTACATCTCTCGCTCAAGCGACCAATTTCTCGCTTGGGTGAGGCTCCCATAATTTCCAACATTAAAACACTGGGTCTCTCGCTTGGGCGAGACTCTCTCACTCAAGCGAGAATCTGGCGGTATGCCTCATTCTTCAGAATTGTTACCTCTTTTTAAGGAGGATAATTTTAGGGTGTTACATATGAAATGAAGATTAATGTGTGTGTTTTGTGTATATGTATGCAAGGGGTGGGAGAGATAATTGTTTGTTTATCGGTGTAGTTCCACCGTAATGAGATAATTTTGACACTATTTAAGGAAGGGATCGAAGTTTTTGTTAACCCTTCTAAACTACAATAAACATTGTATCTAGTGGAGGTTTTGTTGTGGAGGTTATTCAAACCTCCTCAAATAAATCAAATATGGTGGGCTAGGAATTAGATAGATGTATAATGGAGGTTTTTATTTAATTTATGGATGTTTTCAACCTCCACTATATTTCTTGTAATACTTATACTTTCCTACGTGTTTCAGTGGAACGTGTTTTTATACCTTAATACTCGCATCTATTTTTCTCCGTAGAATTTGATCCAGCTGGTAAGTAATTATGTAAGTGTCCACAAGAAACCTCAATAAAAAACGTAAGAATGGAAATTCAACAAAGAAACCTGGAAAAACTATAAAACTATGAAAGAGTTGGTGAACATACCTTGTTTCTTTGAATCTTCCCATCCTTCAAAGTCAAATCTATTCTCTAAGGTTAGCTCTTTTTCTTTGCTCCAATTTCCTTCTCTCTGATTTTTTCCATTTCTTTCATTTTTTATAATGTTAGGGTTTTTCAATTTTGCAAATAAGGTCATGGAAACATTAAGTGTTAATTATTTTATTGTTTTCAACATTATCTAATGTTATCAATGCTTCCACTTTTGTTACGTTATGCTTTCTTTCATATGCTTGTAATTGCTCACCAACTCTTTGATAAATTGTCTACACCAGAAGATGTGTGTGTTTTGTTCATATTCACTTGCAATTTGTCCAACACCTTTTCTCTAACCGATATTTAATCCACATATTAGTGCAAGTCATTAGACTCCTCAACTTACTAATAAACAAACACATGAAAATTAGTAACAACTCCCATATGTGTTTTTGTTGTTGTGAATTTAGTTACCTCTTGTCTTTGTAGCATCGTCCAAGTAGTTTGTGTCTTTGTGACATTTGTCTTACTTCAAATCAAGTTAGATGTCAATAAAAAAGATAGCTTTTATTTATTTATTCAGAATTTGTTCATTCATAATCCAATCCAATCCAATGGATATTTGATATATTTAATAAACAAAAAGCATGGGAAGTAGCACAAGCATCATTCAAGAACTTGTTAATAATGGGATTCATGATGTGGATGGCTGGTTCTACTGTTCACTTGTTCAACATTGGTATTACCTCTTCAGCTCTCTGGCAACCTATTTCGCATTACAATCTCTCGGAAAGAGTAAGTAAGCTCTATTCAATCTTATAACTAAACAACCATCCTTCTACTTTATTATAACAACACTTTTTATTTCTTCTTTCAGTTTCTGACGTCCCTTACAAAGACACTAAGTTGAATGTCTTCCACCTAAGTTGTTATTCATAGCCCTCAATTTGGGTGGTTTAGCACTAGGTGTTTGGAAGGTAATAATATATCTCCTATTATTACGTTTTATGTACTTTGTTTTCATAATTCATAATTCATATATGTGTTATGTACTTTGTTTCCATAATTCATATATGTATCTCTCTGTGTGTGTCTTGTTCTGCAGCTCAACGCAATGGGGTTTCTTCCTTCACACACATCAGACTGGGTCTCATCCTTGCCACATATATAGTTTATTATAATGCACATATTTTTCATGTCTAAAGAACATTCTAATACATGTTCTTTGTTGTTGAATGAAATACACATGCATGTTAATCAGTGCTTAGCTATAATTTATTACTAGCAAGAAGTGCAAAATAAAAGTAAAAGAGAATCACACCATACATAAACAAAAGTAGAGGAGACTAAACATAAACATATACCAAAAAACTATGTCATACTAGCTTTTAAGTCACAAAGTTGTGCATTGTAAATAGTTTTATTATGTTTGAGCTTTCAAGATTAACAATATAAATACCTTCACACGGTTAGTATGCAAGTGGTTATAGTGTTGTTGGAATAGTATGCAGGTGGTTTCTGGAACTTTTTAGGAAAGTATGGCTATCGCTATGAGGGTGATCATACTTGAGCTTTGCTTCCTTTTGAGGTTTGGTTCGTAATACACTCTCTTGGTACTTTACTACCTTAAGTGGCTAGTTAGTTTTACTTGTCTAGATATAGTTCTTTTTTATTTCCCCCTCCCAGTCTTAAAATTGTTGTACTACACCTCCAATTTGATAAGGTATTGCCTAGCTATTTATTTATTGATAATAAGCTTAGCTAGAACAAAAATATGAATATATGAATAGTGATGGTCTAGATTAATAGTTAATGATATTATATTTTATTCTATTATTTCAGGCAAATGATGATGCAAGTATGTCTGGTACACGTTTGGGTGCAAGAGGATCATCTATTATGTATAGGATATTTGTTATGTATTTTGTTTTTAAAGTGTCATATGAGACTACTTTTAGTTTTTTAGATTTTATAGTGTATTTGGATTTATAACAAATGATAAATAATAAGTTTTTCAACTCTTTTACACAACCTTAGTTATTTGCAATGAAATTTTATTATTGTTAAGAATATTTGTATTTAGTATTGAATATTTAAATAATAATTATAAATTAGTAATATTAAAATTGTGAAAATTATGAAATTAACCCGAGGTTAAAATCATATAGAAACCTATAATAGTTATCTTCCAATAGGTCTCCATATGTTATTTGGAGTAGTGGATGTTGGAAATATCCATAATTAACCTTCTCAATTAGTGGAGGTTTAAAGCTTCTATGACAAACATTACAAAAACATCTTCATATTGTGGAGGTTTACAACTTCCACGATAAATGATGCAAAAATCTCCTCAATCAGTGGAGGTTAAAAACCTCCTCAAATAGCGGAGGTTAAAAACATCAAATAGAGGAGGTTAAAAACCTCCTCAAATAGTGGAGGTTAAAAACCTCCACTAATAAACCACTAAATTTATCAATATCAGGGTTCTCTAAAACCTCCACTAAATGCTTCTAGCGGTCACAACTGTGGAGGTTTCTGAAACCTCCGCTATTTATATTGTGGAGGTTAAAAACCCCCAAAACCTCCACTAATCGCAAAAAAAACTTCCACTATATACAAAGTCTGTTGTAGTGTAATGTAAGGGATGATGTAAAAATAATAGAGGTATTAGATTGGTAAGGTATGCACATTTATTTTACTTTTCATTTTCACTTTCATTCTTATTTTACTTTTCATTTTCCTTTGTTCCAAAATCCAATTTGCGAACCAACCCTAATAGTTGGGTAGAGGCAGACATAAGAGATAATAGGTATGTAATTGTTACCTCTTTCATGTACTCTCTATATTATGCATAGTTTGGTTTTAAATCTCTGAACTGATTTTTTTCATGTTTATTCCATCTCTCTTGCAAGTTAAATTTTCTTCATCTTACATATAAAGGATTTTAGACTTTAACCTAAAAGTTAGTTGTTGAGATAGGGTGACAAACTTATGCATGATACAAATATAAAAAAAAATCACGAGTGTTTCACCTAGCATAAGAGATGAATATTGGCAATAATTTAGTTTTTAGAAAATGTAGTGGTTGTGTTTTTTGTTTCAGGCACTGTGAAGGGTGAGGCTGTAATGATAAGGTTTGATGGTGTTCCCTATGATCTATTGAGGATCTCAGAGGAAGTCCAAGAACATGTCACTTTTGTGCAAACAATTCTACTATGGTGAATGGAAAATATATGTTGGTAAGTGCACCATATAACCTAAGATGAAGGATGGTAAGTGCATCATAGACTTTTTTTTTGCCTAGGATTAAACTTACAACATTATGCACTATTGGAATTATTCTTCCAACTTAGTGCATTTAATGTATTTAATAAAATCATACACAAAAAGAAACAAGATGAAAGAAGTACATATGCTTACTAATATGTAGAAGATTAACAAATCTTAAGTAGTTTCCACACACTGACAATATACAGAAGGAAACAATGATATAATTTTTTTTTGGAAGTTAGATCTTAATTAACTTCACATATTGTTTGAGAACTAAAGTTTAAGGAAGTAAAATTAACAATGGTACTAACATAAGAAAGCTTGGTAAGTCAATTTCACATGAAATGTAGTTGAGCATTGGAAATAATAATTGGTTAAGACTTCTTTGAATAATGGAAGCAATATCTTGGAAGAAAGAATTCTAAAAATTAATTTTATGAATGTGAAGACTCTTCATGAAGAAAATATATATTTATCAGACAAATGTAATTTGATAAAGAAAAAATATACTCCTCTAGACAACATGAGGAGAGGACATAACATATGATTTATATTCTATCATGTACAGAGAACAAGAAAAAAGACTAAAGAGTATAATATAGTGGAACCAAGGAGAATAGAACTGAACATCCTATTATGTCTGAGAACCATATACTAAGTGAGAAAAACACTGATTTCTCTTTATGGAACTCCATTGAGGTTTTAGGAGCCTTAACCATTTTTAGTTGATTGGCTTCATGAAGTAATGTTTTATACCAACCAATGTGTATATGAATTTGTCATGATTAACTAATCAGAATGTATGTCCATTAAACATGACACTCTTCAACAATTTAACATGTGTACTTCAACAAATTTCTTCATTTTTTTATGTTTCTTGATATGTGACTGCAGGTGCAATAGACATGATTATTCTTCCAAGATATATCATTGCAATTATTGGTACTTTTCTTAAATTATCTTTCTTTCTAACAAAATTATGTAATCAAGATCCACCATTGCATTTTATGTACTGCAGTTTTCATACATTATCTTCCATGTGATATTATTGGATGTGCTACAATTTTAGACTCATGAATATCTTCAATTGATGTTTCAGCTGTATCATATCAAACATTATACTTCTTTGATGATAATTTTTTTATGTTGACCCCTTTTTTATCATAGGTGTCCTTCCTTACTCGATTATATAAAATAAAAAATATGGTGATTTTATCTCATACCATACATTTTAATACCTTTTTTACATAGCTTTCATGTTAAAAACAAATATGTTTAATATGATATTAATGGGTAAAATATTTATTTTGCAGTTGTTTTCAAACTACCTTTACGGTTGCCAATATGTCTGCACACTACTCTCCACTCTTCTGCAATATTGTTCACTAATTTTTATTGCAAAAAGTCAACTTGGCAATTTTATTGCAAATTATGGCTTATGGACCAATTATCAATTTTAAATAAAAAACCCTCTAAAATTAGGAATATGGGTTAGACATAATTGTTTCAAATATCATGTGAAATGTTTATAATATGTAAATTAAACATTTCAAACCAAACAAAAGAAATATGGGTTAACAACTAGCGTCAATCAATCCCGGTTTTTATGTCAATCAATAAGAAAGTGTGTTAACAAGCAAGTTTTCAATTTCACCTTATCAATGAAAAATCATTACCCAGTTTATCGTATCTACTAATTTGTGTAATCATTATTAAAAAAAATGTTGTAAATAAAAATTTCATTTCACGACGACCTTACATATTATGTTCTAGATAAGTTTATTTAAATGATTACGTCCTAATTATATACTGTACCTGAAAAAATAATTGTGAGTGAATCAATTATTTGAACGTACAATTTAAAAAAAAAAAAGATTGAACAATTACTCAATCGAATAAATTCAATTGAAAATTATAATATTTAACACAAATTACTATATGAGACATTTATAATATATACGTTATACATTACAAACAGTAGGAAAACGGGGGGAGTGCCTGTCAATACGCTAGTAGACATAAAGGGGTAAACATATATACAAAGTAGGGTATTACCATGATGATATTTTTTGATAAACATTATGACAACTATCATCACTTTAGTCAAAAATCAACATTAAGATGATGTTAACAAAGAAAATAATCATAGATATGGCTTGATAAAGTATTTATAAGAGGAAAAATATCCATAAAGGATATGTTATTGTTAATTAACTTATAACTATTCCATAAAGAGAAAAAAACATAGACACTCATGGTATATGTGTTTTATACATTGTTAGTCTGTTATTGCTTCATTTACTCTTCAAAAAAGCAATCCAAATAAATGATAAATGATATCGTGAGTGTGTATAAATCTTTACATTGACGGTGCATAAATATTACACTTTTTTAAAAATTAAAATAATAATACAATAATATTTCTAACTCAATATATTTTGAACATTATGATTGATACAAAAACTCACTTTTTAAAAAACATCGATTCACTTGGTTGTGAGATAATCGATAAACTATCTTATTGTTAAAGTAAAACTAAAATTATGGATATTACAATATGTGTATAAAGGTTATTTGATTGACATTATATGTGTAGCAAACTTCTTAAAAATGTTGCCATTATAAAGATTTTGTGAACCTATTTTGATAAATTTACCACATTTCAAATCTTTTTTTAAATAATAATTTTAATAATTGATAATTTTAATTGTGTCTTGTTCTTTTTAGAGGTTGTCACAAACAAATACTTAATTGCTCTATTTTAATTGTTATCTATACTATTAATAAAGTCAAAATACGAAGTAATCACCATGACATAATTTTTATATCTCAAACTTATCCTTTTTTAACTTCTTTTATTAATATTAATAACTATTATAAACTTCCATACATTGCTTTCATTTTTTAAATCAATACATCATTAATCTTCCACATGCATATTCTCTTATTTCTATATTCTCATTTTCTCAAACCAATAAAAACAAACAATAACATACCAAAAAAACATTAAACAACTCTATAATAATTATTAGAGACAAAAAATGAGAAATTTGCAAAAAAATTGTGTATATCATACCAACGATCATATGTTATATTCTTAAATCTCCACACTGTTGAGTTTATATATTTATTTCTTATATTCAAAATATTTTTTCTCAAATGATATAACATGAAAATGATACATTCTATATTAGAAAAAATAGAATGCGGGTTGACCGACACCGGAGTGTACGCCAATTATAATTATATCTAATTGCATTGAATTCATCAATTATAATATAATTATTAAAAAAGTGAGGAATTAATTGATTTAGTTAAAGATAGTATGACAAAAAACTAAGATAAAATTTGATTTAGAGGAAATTTGTTTTAATTAGAATTTTTTTATGAATATGTTTGGTAGTGTTGCTTTTTTGGTAATAAAATAAAATCTTTACAATTATAATAAATCTTTACGACTGTATGCCTCTCACCCTGTGTCCTTGTTTCTAGGGGCGAAAACAGGTCAAGGCAAGGCTTCACCTTAAACAGGCCGAACCTATATAATATATAGGAGTCTGGGCCTGACCTGTTAGCCTGTTTAAAAAAAATTCAAAGCTTAGGCATGACCTGTTTAAAAGTCTGGTATGACCTGTTAGCCTGTTTAAAGGCCTATAAAGGTAAAAAGAATCAACACATTATATACAAACTAGAAAAAGTTATTATAATTATATCAATTAGTGTGAAATTTTTTACATTGTTATATCAATTATTTCCATCATCTTCCAATGTTGTGTAGTGTATTCGAATGATTTGTGGTGCCTTTGAGGTTAGAATATACAAAATAATGTCTTTTAATATCATAGTAAAATATGATATTGTTCTAATATTTAACATGAGTTGAGTTATGTACTTAAGCTCAAGTCTCAACAATTAAATATTCAATTATTAAATAGTCTAATCTCTAAGTCCTAACGGATTTACATAAAAAATTTATTATTTAGTTTTGGACATGTTATAAAAATAATTTTAAATACATAATAACATTATGTAGGCTGACATGTTAGACTTAATAGGCTTTTTAAAAAGCTTGAGTTTGACCTATTTCGGTTATATAGGCTTTTGGAGAAGTTAAGTCTGACATGTTTACTAAAAAGGTCTGGTCTGACCTAACATGTTATAGGCCAGATAATAAGCTCACGATAAGCGATCTGGCATGTTTCCACCCTTACTTGTCGCATTGAATTGATTCCCCTGCCCCATATTTCCCCGCCTTTGTCTCATTCATTAGTTTTTTTTTTTAAATTTCATGTTTTTTCACTACTTTATTGTGTTTTATTTACTTAATAATAATAATAGTAATATTAATAATATAAAATAAATAAAAAACTAATAAAAGCATATCTTTAATAAAAATAGTTAAATAATTAAGTATTAAATAATTTAAATAATATTTTAATATCCAATTTTGGGTGGTGGAAAGGAAGGTAGAGATTAGGATATATCTTACTTTCCATTTGAGTTGAGACGCTCTAACCATTATTAATATTGTTTCTAACGTTTAATATATTATTCATTGTTTATTTATTGGTGATATTTTTGTATAAGACTCATTGGAAAAAAATGAACACTTCAATTTCATACTTCGAATTGAATTATAGCCCATGTCAATATAGGAAAAATGAAATTGTAGTTATGAATCACTGTGTTTTTTTAAAAGAAACAAATCATCGGTAGAAGTTTAGATTTAGATAAAATTAAATTACTTCAAGAAGATGTAAAAAACAGTAGAAAAATAGTGAAACTATTTTGTAAAACTTCGGTTTTAACTTTTTACAGTGTTAATTGACTTCATATAATGATTCCCACACACACATATACATATATTAAGAATATCAATTATAATAATTCCATTAAAATGAAGACAAATGTTGAATTTTTGCATTATTTCCTTAATTAATTAGCGTATATATGTTATTCTAAATGCATGCAATAACCTTCCTTATTTATTTTCTAA